ATATTTCCTTGAAATAAAATAATAATTCATGGTAAGCTAATTCTAAATAGGTCACAATCTTATAAGCCTGAAATCGCACAGTTAAAAAAATAAATCAAACATCTGTGAGATGCTGAACAGCCAAAAGAGACCTATGTAATTATGGCATCTCATTCTGAGGTTGATTCTAAATTCTTCATTCATGACCTGTGAAAGACTTCTCTTGTCCTTAAAGTCAACATTAAGGCATGCCAAATTTCCTATAAGAAAAATTATTCTAACAATAGCTTTGGATATTACAGTTCTATAGTTATAAAACATTCTCCTAATACATACACAGACTTGAGTGGACATAAACTTACACACTAACAAATGTAAACCACAGGTATGCTCTTAAGTGTAAGCCACAGATTTTTTAAATTGATTTTACATATTTAAAATAACATCTTATTTTTACAGTGTCAGTGCACAAATTAAGCAAATTATTTCCAAAGGCTTCTGCCCATAAAAGTTGGAAGGAGAGAATATTCTAGAATACTATGAACCATAAAATGATATAGCTGAAAATCAGCTGAAAGATAATGACATGTTAATTCTCTTTCTTATGAACCCTTTATACTGGGAAAAGCCAGTGAGAGTTCATTATTATAATTCTTTTCATTGTAGTCATTCTTTATGCCCAATTCTGGGAAAGGTCAAACCCCATTACAGAGAACTATAAGGATCTATCTTATTCCTTTGTCACAGTGGAACTTAGCTGGTGGTATTAAATCTTGCTGAATAGGTGAACCACTGGTGAAGGTTGTGAATCTCTTTTGTCAGACCACATTTTTGTGGTAGCAGTAATTGCTGCAATGGAATCTGACCTTCAGATTGAAAAACCTGCTCCTAATAAGTATATAGAACATTTTCTTCTTTAACTCTAGATGATTAATCCAGCTAAGGTTTTGCATATGCCCGTCATTGCGCATATCAAAGATGAAGGCTGAAATGTTCAAATGCTCTTGCCTAGAATTTCTGCCTGTCACAAAGAAGTAACAAAAAGTAGAGCCACTTGGGTTCAAACCCTAATTCCTGATATTCAACTGGCGTAGTGCTTACTCAATCACTCTCCTTACACTGGGGGGCAAAGGGAAGGCACAATTAGTAGGGCAGTCTCTTTGTCTAAATTTGCACCTCAAAGGACATGGGCCAGCATTGGTCCAGCTGAGTCCCCAAAACAAGTAAGTATGAAAGGGATTGACTCAGATATATTAAGCAGACAGCAAAGCATGTGATACTGATATCAGCCAAGTCTTTAGCAGTATAGAACTAAGGGGGCATAGTAGTCATATGGATAAAAGCACCATAGCCACCAAGGATTTCATGGTTCCAAGAAGTCCTGTGCTCCTCTAAACTATGAGTCAGTTATGAAGTGAGGAGCCTAGAGAAAAGGCTTTCTCCCTATGAGGGTGCCAGTATATAGGTCTGCTTAAGGAGCTCTAAATGGCTAGAAAGGACACTCATCATTGCAAAGAAACATTCAGCTCTACCACAAACAGTTTAAGATGCCCTAAGAAGAGACAGTTTATTAAAGTCATTAGGAGGATTAAACTGTCCATAAGCAGTACATAGATCCCAGTAGTAATGGAGAAAGCTTTCTTTCTGGTACTCACCCCTCTGGACCACACTGCTGAACAATGATCTGCTTTCTGTTAAGATTAGGAAAGTAACTCACTTTAGTTTTTTGAAACCTGGTAAAAAGACCTAAACATGGACCTCTGAAAGAAGTTGCTGTTCCAGGTCTAGCAATGAAAACTTTCATAAACAACAACCAGCACCATGTTCAAGAGATAGATGTAAGGTCAAGATCTCCATGAAGGATCCAAGCCCAGCAACACCACAGCTATCATCGGTTCAATGTCTATAACATTTATCACCTGATCTTGCCAAAGTACTTCTAAATAAAGACATTTAGAGCCAAAAACCTCTTTATCAGGTTGGAAACAATAAAGTCTAAAGTTCAGGGTGACTTTAAATTCAAGTAATCCTCATCTTGAATTCAGGCACTGATAGGATGGACTAGAACTACACACCTGAATACTGGAGGAAAGCTGATTAAGGCAGTTAGCTGAACTATGTCAACACAGCACTCAAGGAGACACCCAGATGATTTTCTGAATTGGTTTTTCTTAGAGTAATGGTCTGCCATCACATAAGTAGAACCTTAAAAGTGCTGTGTCCCATATATAAACAGATGTGTCCTATATATGAACAGATTTAAATAAATAAGCATTAATTATGATAGTTCAATTTTTAAATTTTAAGGAAGGAAAGAAAGAAATATATTCTGACTTGTTAGGTCTTTCCTCATGCATATCTTTTTCTAATTGAGATACATATATAGATATAATGGCATATTTATATATGTATCCCTATCTGGGATCCCTATTTATATCTCTATACATAGATAGGGATACATATATAGATATAATGGGATAGATCTTGATAAGTAGATATAGATATTCCATTATATCTATATATGTATCCCTATCTGTATCTATATCTATATATCTATATGTATATATATATACATATATATGTAGAGAGAGAGAGAGAGAGAGAGATCCTTTAGATCATATCAGAACTATTTGTAATTTGGTCATGCTGTAAGATTCATTATATGTTTCCCAATGAAAAGCTTTGGCTTTTTCTCCTTTATCCAGTTTTACAGAATTGAAAAACTTCCTAACACTCAATTCTCTAATTTGTCTTCCTTCATACCTGAAAAATCGGGCTGCACATTAATTCAGATCAGTCTGCAATTCAGCTAACTAATCATGTTTTACCAATAAATAAAACAAAACTCAGCTGATCGCACTTAGCTTCTAAGAACAAGCATGAGTTTTTTTAAATGTATTTTTCTAAAAAGACACACTCAGACCTACTCGCCCAGCCAAGGATATCATTCATTTATTGCCTCAACTTCATGTAAAGTGGGTCTCTATGCAGGTCAGAATCTGACAATTCACAAACCTTCAGAAAATGAAATTTATACTGCTGTAAGTCAGCTTCAACACAAACCATGACATGAGAGTCACAGTAAAACAAAAAACTTTGCTCAAAAAGCACAAAGAACCAGCAATAGATAACAAATATCATCTTTATAGTCTCCCAATTATTTCCAAATTGAGCTATATCTAGCTTCCTCTCATGTCCATAAAATTTCTCATTTTTACCTAATGCCTGCCCTCTCTATTTTTACTATCCTCTGATCCTACCTTTTTGCATCTCATCTGAACCCTTAGTAACACAGTGTACCCAACTCATCAGGTGAATCTCTGACAGTCACAAGAACTCATTCACATAAATATCCTGACTCACACACCCTGCCAGCCAAAGTCATCCACGTTTTCCACAATCCTCAAAAACAACAATAACTGTAGGCATTAGAATTAGGCTTTAGAATCTATAAAGAAATTGTATTCTCACTTCCCTATTCTCTGCTCTTCCACCCCAAATTTCAAGTTCCAGTCTTCTTTAAGAATGACCCCCCGATGGAAGTTAAAACAACTCTTACCGTGGGAGGATGGAAATACCTCAAGGATTAATTGCAAAATGCAAGCTATTTCTAAGGATGCATTTCTGGCCCTTTTCTGAACCATAACTGTACAGAGACAGGGTGTTAGTGTGGACTCTGGGTGTGGGTTCTACAAAGCTGTGACCACTTTGATCATCATGCCTCTCACCGAGCAAGTTTGAATGTCATGAGGCAAGATTTCACAGTTAATGTGGGTATGGATGAGGAACTCGGAATACTTATGGGGATACCTGGGTGGCTCAGTTGGTTAAGCATCTGCCTTTGGCTCAGGTCATGATCTCATGGACCTTGAGATCCTAGGATAGAGCTCCCCCACTCCTCTCTCAAATAAAATCTTTTAAAAAAGTTTTTTTAATTTTAAAAATTAAAGAAAAAATGATGCTTAGACCACTGTTGGGGGAGGTAAGTTTTGGTGAGGACACAGTTCCCACTGAATCACTGTGTTTACTCTTTCTGTCACTCTTTTTTTAAATTTTTTGGCTATGGGCTTAAGGACTGCTGCCATCCTGGGGCAATGGCTTGTTGCTTATCCTAGAGAAGTGAAACCAACTTCTAGGCATAGTCTCTAAGAGTCTAGCTGCAATTGTATCGCATTGTATTTCTCCCAAACAACAATAAAACGTCACCTGGGTGTGTGTCTGAGCCAATCATGACTTAGACCTGCCTAGAGGTTTATATGTCTGGAAACACATTAAAAGTGTCTTATGCTTTGCCTCTCTGGTGTAAGAACCAGGAAAGACTTCTAGAGCCTGGGTAACTGTCTGATGGCTAAACCACAAACAGAAAATGAAATTTATATAAGCAACTAATTTTACTTCATCTAGAAAATGGGCATGCAACACTGGCTAATATCTGGCACTACCATTCTGGGTTAAATTCAGATTGGTCTTATAATGATTTACATTATTTTTCTTTTACTGGAAACTTTATTCTAATGACTTAGTTACCACTTCTGAGCACAGAAATAATTTTAAGTATAACAGATGTGTTTTTGCATTTTTTAAAATAATCAACATCCCCAAGCTTCAAAATATTCAAATTCAAAACATTATATTTTAGTATTCAGCCAAATTAGAAGAAGAAAGAATTTAGCAAGAGAATGGATAAGCACCTTTGAGAATTAAATATAAGCCTTATTATGTGATTAGTGCTTAAGTTCATTTTCACAAAATATGTATGTACTTGATCCTACTGTATGTAGGACCTACTAATGTCCAAAGAATAATACCCCATAGCATGGAAGAGAAATCATTTGTACACTGGTTGTTAGAAATATTTTGCTATAGAAGTAGAAGCTGATGGCCATTATAGATGAATTAATCTCAGTTCTTTAGAAGAACAGGTGTAGCTGGTTGTAGTTTTTTATGCATCTTACATAGCTTTTCTTCCAAATAAAAAATACATCCAGAACAAAACCACTCACTGGCTGTTGGTTTGGGAAATAAGCCTTTCTTGCCAAGCAAAGAAACTGTACTGTTAATTTTAAGGAATGTGGTTGGTTGGTTGGTTGGTTTTCATATAAAATGCTAACGCAGACTCTCAGCAGGCTCACGGCCAGAATTAACTCTATCCATCAAGGGCATCTTCCTCTACCAAGGACAGTTCCAAGGTGTTTTCATTAGTGCAGGTTTTCATCCTGAAGTTGAAAGAACCGTAGAGTTTTGCAGACTCTTTGGAAGAGGCAAACCTGTTGCGACGATATAGCTCCCCTTTCCACATGGACATCATCAGCAAACAGGACAAAACAACCCCCCCAAGGGTGAGCAGGCAGAGTCCTGCAATCACACAGCGGTCCAGGTGCGCCCCCAGCCTTGCGCTCTCCCTCTCCAAACGTTCCATCTCCCGGGCTGCCACGGTGTTGGGATCCACCGTCACTTCCCGAGGGACAATGTAAGAGATGATCACAAGCAAGATGCCAGTGACCAAGAACAAGATGGCACTGATGAAACCATAGTCTACGGACTTCCCTGAAGACGTGGCTTCCGAACTTATTTCATCTTCATCCTCAGATATCAAGGATATGGCAGCCTCATGAGACCACTCATTTGGATTTCCCCAGCCAAGGTCTCCCAGGTGATGGCTCCCTTTTGCCAGAGGAGAGCACGGGTTCCTTTGCTCTAGGTTGACATTCTCATCCACACGGGTGAAAGAAGTTTCTAATTCCTGGCTGCAGCAGTTGCAGACTTTCCGTCCTGCTGTTACGTGGTTGTTCCCTGAGTTGAGAGGCCCTGGTGGCAAGGAGTCTGTCTGAATAACACTGTCTTGCAGAGAGGAGGAGGGGAATGCTGGAGCAGGGCTAAGTTTAAACCCTTCCATCTCAGCTGCTCTTGGTGTTGACATACAGTGTCTCTGGCAGCAGAGAGCAGCTCTGGCAGCGGCTGCATCTGCCCGGTCACCAGGAAGCTGTCCTGAATGCCAGTCCACAGCATCGCACAGGACTGCCTGGCTGCTCCTCTTGTCAAGGCAGTGGAGCTCCATCGGAACTAGTCAGACATCCCCCAGCAGCTTCCCAGAATTCTGCCACAAACCACACAGGTAAGAACCCAATAGGACCTAACACTGCACTACCAGGGGTCTCACTCCTGAGGCCCCCATCTCTTTTTCAGCCACTGTCATTGACACTTCAAACCCCAGCTCCTCCTAAAAGGGGTAAAAGAAAGGAGAGGATACCTCGTGGCAGGGAAGTGGGAAAAGGGCAAATCCTCTGACTTGGCAGAGGGACTGACACTGAGAAACTTAGGTCAGGGCAGAAAAGGAGCACAGCGGAAGTAGCAGTGTCTCTGAGGGAAGCTTTGCCGTCACCAAGCCAAATTTATCCAAGGACTCACACATTTCTGTGACAGGATCCCTCAAGTAGGAAGGCAAGTTTCCTGTAGAGAGACACAAATGAGAGAGGCGGGGACTTTTTTTAGCAGAGCTGCGATTTTCTGGAAAACCTGGGGAAGCACACACCTCTCAACAATTCAGTTAAATTATGTTTACACTCTCTTTAGTTCCGAACAGATTCTAATAGAGATTAGCTTTAGAGCTTTACCATGGATGAACAAATATGTCACCGTCAGCTGGGCTGTCTTGGCACAGGAGCTCAGCATTTTGACTGAGTAGTTTGGAAGTGGGTGAAATTTCCACCTCGTACATCCAATGCCCTTAGTCCCACAGCCCTGTATGTACAAGACCCCATGCTTGTTCATTGTGTTTTCATTCTCAGCCCTTGCAGCTACATGATGCCAGCTTGTTCTGGACCCAGAAGTGCACAGACAACATGCCTTACTGTGTGATCCCTACCAAATACCATGGACCAGTGTGCTCCACTCCCTGCCTTCCCCAAACACACTTGCTCTAGGTGCAGATCTGTGACTCTTGCTCATTGTGTCTGAATGGGTCTGAGTCCTTCTCCCTGTGTACACTTGGCTAACAAACATGCATGGGAAATTGACCATCCAGTTTTTATTTAGAAGTAAACTGACGGTAAGAGACAAATTATAAACCCACAGAGTCACAGTTCTGTTGAGGTGAGCAGGTGAGAAGCTATTAACATAGTTCCAATATTACCTTTGGAACTTTGCCTCCAGACATGACCTTACCCCACCGCAGCATGCTTTCTGTGATAAAACTTTGGGTTAAGCAGAAAACTGCCTGCCCATCTTTCTATGCCTCTGCCATCCTGCCAAAGAATAACAACTCACTTTTCACTCTCACTAAGTACAGCAGTTTCAAGCAAGGGCCCTTTTTTATTTTGGTTCCAAATTTATGGCGGTAGTTGATTTAACCCATGGTTGGAGGCTTATTATGCTCAAAATCCACAGCTCCAGCAGCTGATAATCCACGCAGAACACAAGAATAAGGTTTACCTAAGGTCTACCTGGCAACTCAATTAAAATATCGGAAAGGGAATCCATATGTTTTCTGCTCTGTATTAGATTTTGTATTGTTTTGTCTAAAAAAAAAAACGAAAACAAACAAACAAACAAAAAAACCCCACTTCTCCCCTTATATCAAAGCTTCTCTTCAGGTAAAACAGAAAAACAAAAACCAAGCAAAAAACCATACACCTGACCCAGAACTTGCCTTTAGCAAGTGGACACAGATCCCACAGCCGGATCCCTCCACGAAGGAAATGGTGATAACGGATTTGATCAATTCCTGAAATGAAAAATCGTCTCTCAATTCCCTCAGACATAAGGTGCTCTGATTAACTTTTGGCACGACTAACTCATCACGTTGCCCTACTCTGGATAAAATCGACAGGATTCCTTATGGGACTTCCAATTTATAATAAAGAGGGAAAGAAATCTCCACTTAATTCCCTTCTGCTTCTCTCGCTCTTTAAAGACAGACTCCGCTTGTTTCATCGGAGATATACTCGCTGCACAGTCGATTCCCTTTGCAGCTCCATAATCCGGGGCTTCCATCCTCTGTAGAGAAAGGATAATCCCATGGGACCAAGCTAAAGGCTCTTTCCTTCCGTCTCCTGCCTCTCCTCTCTCTGCTTAAGAGCGCGGTTAATGAAATTGCACCTCAAAGCAAGGGGACAGCGCTCTACCTCCTCCGCCCATTAACTAAGAGCATTAATATCTGCATTGAAACTAACTAATACGGGCGAGGCTGGTCTCCGGGAGGCGACCTAGCGATCCGTCCAGCGCGCGCTGTGCGGGGAGGGCGTGCAGCAAGCGCCGGGCAGCAGCGTCCCCTGCGAGATCAATTCATCCATTCCGGGTAAACCTCAAGGCACCCGGAGTCCGGCTGCGTTCGCCAAACGCCCCGAGGCGGGGCAAGCACCTGGGACAGGGAGTAGGGACGTGCTCTGCCGCTCCGCCGGGATCCTGGGGTCTCTCCCTCGCCCCAGCGCCTCCTCCCGGTCCGACTCTCCGTCACTTACCCCTATCTTGACCACTACGTGCGGCTCGAGCACCGCACGTTTGTTCCTGCACCGCTCCTCGGGAAAGTCCCCCGATTCCCAGCCAAGGCACTTGTAGCCTCAGCGCGCGGCTGGGCTCTACCGGGTGGGCAGCGCCTGGTGTGCCGGTTGGGAGGGGCCGGGTGGGGCGGGGCTCTCCTTCTTGCTTAGCATCCCGGGAGATGTAGTCCAGGGGCGGTCTCCCCGCTTCCCCCACCTCGTTCTTTCTCACTCCTCCTCCTCGCTTTTGCCCTTCCCGAAGATGTTCCCGCTGTATGTCCATACTCTTGATTGGCACTTTAGAAGAAATCGCTGGATCCTAAACTCAGGGTTGGATCCTCCAGACTCAGGTATGGCCACAGGATTTTGGGGAAAGGAGTGTATATTTAGTTACAACACTGTGCCAGGCAATATGCATATTTCGTTTTATTTAATAGAACAGATCTTCGAAGTAGATTTTATTAATCCTCATCCTACAGACAAGAGAGAGGCTCAGAGGAATTAAGTCTTTCATCCAAGGTTACAAAGACAGTAAGTGGTTGCTATAAAGTTTATTCAGGAGTATGCTCCCAAAGTCATTGCCTGGCCCACAAAATCAGTAGAAATATGACCACTGAGGGATTGTCCCGTTTGCCTATGCATCCCCTGTGCCTAGCCAAGTGTCTAGTATCTGTTGAATTATGAATTGTAATGACCCAAAATAACAAGTTAACATAAATAACACTTATTACTGCCAGATTCTCTTCTAATCACTTTAGATACATTAACTCATTTAGTGTTCACACTTAATTTTTAAATCTTATAAAAACTCTCATTTTTATAGGTGAGGAAACTGAGTTACAAAGAAGCTTAGTAATTTGTTCAAAGCTGTACACCTAGTACTCAACAGAGGTGGGGCATGAATTCCAAAAAGTTCTAAGCATTATGCAAATTGAGTGAATGGGAGAAAGACCAGAAGGCTAGGAGAGAAAGGGTTGGGGAAAAAGGAAGTATGTAGATGAAGCTACTGAGCATGACTCCCAGGATAGAACAAAGTAACTTCTTCGGGTCACTGACCTTTCTAACCATAGTGGATTGCAGCAGCAAACAGCCAAAGGGAATGTGTGGTTTGTGGATCATCTCTTAAGTTTTCAGCATTGCCTTTGGGACTATTGTAGAGTTATTGATTGTTTTCATCTAAGGCAAGCAAAAGAAGGGCTATAATATTTATAACTTTTTGCTACTTGTGAGTAGCTCACATAAATTCTGCAGCTGCTTGCTTTCAAGTGTTAAATAAATTTCCTATAATGATGATTTTGTTGGTTTTCCTTTTTATTGATAGAATCCGTAGTATCATAGTTCCAGGAACTTCACAATCCAGCCCCTTTAAGATTTCTTTTTCCGCATGACTCCCTTTTAGCCAGTTAGGCCCATTTGTTGATAAGCATGCCATGTGTCTGGGGTTTCTTCTCTTTTGCTTATTATTCTGTTCCCCAGTGAGAATATTCTTCCTTCCATCCCCTATTCCTTCCACCCTTTGAGGACTATCTCATCAATCCACACCTGCAGGGGTGCATTCTGTTTTTAGTATTTTATGCTTAAAAGGGAACACAAAGACACCATAGGGTATCTAGAAGAGAGCAACTGAGAAGTTGAAGAAACTTAAGTCCACGCTGGACAGGAAGACGCTGAAGGAACCTGGGATATTTAGTCAGAGGAGACTTAGAGGAAAAAAAACTAACTTTAAATAATTTGAGGTTTATAAAGAAGAAGAATTCTGTATCATGGTTAAAAAGCATAAAAAGCAGAACCAATGACAATAATAGCATTTATTTGTCCTAATGCATTCTCATCTGTAGTTCTTACATCAGATCTCTAAGGGAGCAAGTATTATTGTACCCATTTTGCAATGTAGACATTGAAGATAAAAAAGGTGGAGTCTCTATCCCAAGGTACAAGAACTAATAACTGACAGAGCCAAGATTCTAACTTGGCTGTCTGGTTTCCAGAACCTGGAGCTTTTCACCAACATGCTGTACTGAGTGTACATAGAAGATGATAATATTTATTGCACTGGGATAAACATAAGAGGTTTCTCACAGCCATGGTTCTGGTGCTATGGTTCCTTCAGGTCCTGCAGGACGGCTAGAAGGGCCAAGGGAATAAATAGCCAGCATGCTTTAATACATGGAGCTCATGAGGAAGGTGGACACAGGGACTGGGGCGCCTTGGATGGCACTATCACATTTAATAAGGAGGTGGATTTGGGGCTGATTATAAGGAATAACATTCTCTCTAAGAACTTGAAATAGGACATCTCATGAAAGTGAATTCAGTATTACTGGAGAGGATTAAAAAAGCCATTTATTAGTGATGTCCTGGAAAGGGTTCATCCGGTTGGATTCGACCTCTACGGTTTCCCTGCTGAAGTGATTCTGAGTTACATCTCTTCCACGAATCCTTTTTCCTCCAAACCAGACCCCCCAAAGATTCTGTGTCCTATGAACTTTACTAAGACTTGTCAGCCCTGGTATTTTTTGTATTCATCAATCACTGCTTTGTGACATAACTACTGCATATTGTTCAGCTCCTCATTTCAGTGCCTAAACCTCAAGCAGCAATTGTAAGCTCCTTAAGGTCAGTATTCATGTATTAAATGTCTTATTACCTTCTGCAGAAAGTGCAGTATTTCTATTGGGT